ATGGCAGAAGAAGGGAGCTTCAGCCCACATTATTACAAAATAAGACTCTGAAAAAATCGAGGTGGTGGTTTAAAAGCAGATTTTAAAAAATACAAAATATTAGAAAAGACTATAAAACCAGAAGTCATTTGACCTTGAGGTGGATACAGCTTATTGTGATACAACTGACAGGCAGGAAGAACCAAGGGCTCTTCAAGTAACAAGTAATAAGAATAATTTGTGGCGGGTTTGTATATATCAGCTACTGTGCCAGCCACCTTGCAGTGCTATCACAATCCTCATCGCAACTCTTTCATAAACGCGAAGCTGGGGCTCAGAGAGATTGTCAAGTAAGTGATTTACCCAGTAAGGCCCAGAGCCAGATCTGTGTCCACCCGCTCCGAAGCCCACATGCTTCCTAACCAGTGAGAGTCTCTCTGCACAGAGGAGGCTTCACAGAGGTCACTGTGGTGATCACGTCCGGCAGCTCTCCTCACCAATCCCACAGAGTGTGAGCCCCAGTGCTGACCGCACTGCCCACCGGCTGCCTCTGCCTCCTGCCTGTGTCAGTCCCTCGTCCAAATGATGCTTGTGCTGAACCCCGAGAGGGAACTCAGAAGTGCTTATCTGAGGCAGAACCTCTTTCCAGGGAACAAATTCCCAGGCCACCTTCAGTCACTTCCACAGTTCTTTCTGCTTCTGTTCCCAGAGTCCCGCTGGATCAGACAGAGGCTTACGGCCTCCTCTTCTCCACGTACCTGGCTGCCATCTCTCCTGGGCTGCAGTCCTTCCAAAAACTACCCTTTACCCCTTTTGTGACCACTAACTTCCATGACCCACCACACACATACCGACAGATCTGACTCAGGGTTTGTCTCATTTTAAATCAGAAGCTTTTCTATGCAATTCAGCAAGTGTACACTTGTAATCTCCCCTGAACTCTTCTTGGAACTAATAGGGGAGGTAGATAGGTGAATATCTACGTTTGCAAAGCTCTTCTCTAGAGTCACAGGGGATGCTCTTAATCTACAACAGAGAATAAGAAAAATACAGAGGTGGTGCTGTATGGGTTCGAAAGAAAGAAACCCCCTGGAGTTCAGAGAGAAAGAGTTTAAGAAGGCCATAGCATTTTAAGTAGTACTCCAGTTAACAATACCTTCCAGCCCAGACATGATATGCCAGGCCACAAAACCAAAATTCCTATCAGTGTTTTTCAACCTTTTTTATCCCACAGCACACTTGAACCTATAGTTAAACTTTCCTGGCACACTTAAATTATGTTGATTGAAAAAAAA